AGATATTTTCTCAGTCTTTTTCTTCAGGAGCGTTTTGAGGTGTGCAACTACCTGATGGAGGTCCTGGTGCTCAGGCACAAAGAGAGCCAAGAGGAATCCCTCGTGTCCACGTGCCCCTGCGGCCACAGAGTGCTGCTTTGCCGTAAACGTGAGGCTTTTATCCCGCTGCTGGTGGGTGGGAGCTGGGCTTCCTCCTGCTGCCACCTCTGCCCTTGGCCAATCAGCCAGTGACCCATGGGCATGGTGGGGTTGCTCCTCGTCCCTCCTGGCTGCTGAGGTGCCTGCTGGGGCTGTTGCAATCGTCACCGTTATCCTCACGCAACACAGCTTGTGACACCCGGGGGCAAAGCACAGACGGCTTCCCTCAGGCGTCCTCACATATTCTTGATGATATGACGTGTTGGTGTCCTGTGGCAAGGACTTGGAAGGATGGGGATGCAGGGCTGGGCTCTGAGAGAAAAGCCTCGCAGCTGCCCCAATTCAGTCAAGAGCCAGCTCCAGCCGACTGCAAAAGGGACCTGCTGGTGGCCAGAGCTGAGCTAATGAGCGACACTGGTTGTGCCTCCATCATGACAGGGAATCGTTGAACCATTTGGGTTGGAAAAGACCTCTGATGGAAAAGACCTCTGATATCATCAAGTCCAACCCAGCAATAAGCACTGCCAAATCCACCATTAAACTATAGAATGACAGAATCATTAAGGTTGGAAAAGCCCTACAAGGTCATCTGGTCCGACCATCCCCTTACCACCAATGTCACCACTGAACCATGTCCCCAAGCACCACGTCCAAGCTCTCCTTGAACACCCCCAGGGACGGTGACTCCTCCACCTCCCTGGGCTACTTGTCCCAATGCCTGACTGCTCTTTCTGAGCAGAAATGTCTCCTCATTTCACAGAATTACAGAATTAAAGAATTATCTGTCTAGGTTGGAAGAGACCTCAAGATCATCGACTCCAACCTCTGACCTAACACTATCAAGTCCTCCACTAAACCATATTGCTACTTCCAACCTAAAACTCCCCTGGCACAACTTGAGGACATTCCCTCTGGTCCCATCACTGGTTACCTATGAGAAGAGGCTGACCCCCAGCTCCCCACCCCTTCCTTTCAGGCAGTTGCAGAGAGCAATAAGGTCTGCCCTGAGCCTCCTCTTCCCCAGACCAAACACCCCTATGACCTTGGCCGCTCTTCACAGGACTTGTGTTGCAAATGCCATGAGGGAACATGAGGCCTGGCACTGCAGCTGGTCGAGGGAAGGGATTGTCCTGCTCTGCTCTCTCTGTGGCTGTTACATCTCGAGCACTGGGGGCAGTTTGGGGTGTATCAGGGTCAGAAGGGCACAAATCTATTGGAGACTGTCCAAAGGAGGGCCATGAAGGTGATGAAGGGTCTGGAGGGGAAGGCGTGTGAGGAGCAGCTGAGGTCCCTGGGTTTGTTCAGCCCAGAGCAGAGCAGGCTGAGCGGAGGCCTCATGGCGGCCTGCAGCTCCCTCATGAGGAGATCAGAGGGGCAGGCGCTGAGCTCTGCTCTCTGGGGACAGCGACAGGACCCGAGGGGACGGCATGGAGCTGGGACAGGGCATGGTCAAGCTGGGGGTGAGGGAAAGGTTCTGCGTCCAGAGGTGATCGGGCGCTGGGTCAGGCTCCCCAGGGCAGTGGTCACAGCACCGAGCTGCTGGAGTTGAAGAACGGTTTGTACAATGCTCTTAGACATAGTGATTGGTTTTGGGTGCTGCTCTATGGAGCCAGGATTTGGAATCAATGGTCCTTGTGGATCCCTTTCTACCTTTGTGCTGGTGCCCATGGCTGCCCTGGACACACAGCACCTTCCTCACCCGCAGCAAACAGCCTGGCCCCACAGGGACTGCCAGCCCCGGCGTCCCCACGGCGCTGGTGGGGAACAGCAGCCCTGGGCTCCCTCTGGCACAAGGACATGCTCACGCTTCCCATCAGCTGCAATGCCAAACTGCACGCCTTTATTTGAGCAGGGGAAAGCAGCCTCTGGACAAACCACAGCAGGCCCATAGAACAGGATGTCAGCAGCTGTTTTGCAGGAGTGAGAAGCAAGTGAGACATCCTGCTCACAGCATTCTGGGCATCAACCAAATATCCTGTACAGAGAAAGAAGAAAGCTTATCACCTCCTTGAAATGTCTCCCTTTTGTCTCTCTCCCACCTCCTCTCCAAAGACAAATGAGTCTTGAGACTCAAGAGTCAAATGCCCAGAGGCGAACTCATGGCCTTCCTGCTGATGGCTTAGAACTGTGCCCTCCTTAGTGCTGGTAGCCCTGACTCCAAGTCTTTGCAGTAGCATCAAGAACAGGACCGTGTCCTTCACCAACTCCAAGGGGCAACCATAACCCTTTGCCAGCAAGGCAGATTCCCCTGCAAAGGCTGGGCAAGCCTTGTGGGGTAGAGCAGAATGGGGAGGTGCTGGCTAAGCTTAGGGTCCTTCAGCCCCACACAGGGCTGCACCCACACATTCAAACCAACAATCTCCTTCCTTTCCTGGCTTCTCCTGCACAGTACATTCTGCACATGCTGATGGTTATGCGTAAAGTAGGATGAGTTCTGTAACAATTATTTCAAAGGACAAAGGAGGAATCCGTTTCATCAACCATGGACCTTACCTGCTGCAACAAGGTACGATACGATAACATTTCCCAATCTGTTTTTCAGCGAACTGGCAGCCCCCAAAACGACAGCGTCCCCCTTCTATTGTGCATCGGATATCGTTTCCTATTGCAATAGAAAGACATGCACAGAGAAGCCATTCTAGAGATAATTTCAAGAAAGTTCAAAGCACTGGGACGGCTTGTCAAGAGTGGTTCTGGAGTCAACAGGCTTAGAGAACATCAAAAGGCACACGGAGAGGCTGGAGACAAGGAGGCTTTGGGACACTGTGCCGTGATCAAATATGAAACCACCGTCAGGACCAGCCATTCCACCAAGCCAACATTCCCCTTGGGCTCTCTCCTAAAGGCCAGAAGATCCCTCTGAAAGACGCTGCTGCGCTAACCTCAGCCTTGCTGGTGGGAGATCTTGCAGTGACAAGATCAGACGAGCAGATGGACACGGGCTTGCAACCAACACCCAATCCCCTTACTGACCCCTCAATAAGCCCGGACTTTCTTTCTTAGCTCTTTCGGCACCCCACTTCCAAGTCCTCTTGCAAAGACACTCAGAAGGCTTCTTTTAATCAGTCCCTGCTAACCTTTGCATCCCTCCAACAAGTGGCATTGCTCCCCTGGACACAGAAGAACACATTGACATAGGTCTACACCTCAGCCCATCTCCCCCCTTCCCCTCTCACCTGCAGCGCCCTGGAGAAAGAGGAGGAAGAAGGGGAAGAGCAGGAACAGGATCTTCATGGCTGATGCCTGGAGCAGGTCTTCACGGGGCTGCTGCAGAGAAGACAAACCAAGGTGACAAGGACCTGGGGGAGAAGCCCAGGTGGTGCTGCAGCAGCCTGGGCACAACTCTGGGGAACCCCAGTAGTGGCTACCTGCGCCTACAAGAAAAAGATATTTTCTTAGCCTTTTTCTTCAGAAGAGTTCTGAGGTGTGCACCTACCTGATGGAGGTCCTGGTGCTCAGGCACAAAGAGAGCCAAGAGGAATCCCTCGTGTCCACGTGCCCCTGCGGCCACAGAGTGCTGCTTTGCCGTAAACGTGAGGCTTTTATCCCGCTGCTGGTGGGTGGGAGCTGGGCTTCCTCCTGCTGCCGCCTCTGCCCTTGGCCAATCAGCCAGTGACCCATGGGCATGGTGGGGTTGCTCCTCGTCCCTCCTGGCTGCTGAGGTGCCTGCAGGGCTGTTGCAATCGTCACCGTTATCCTCACGCAACACAGCTTGTGACACACGGGGGCACACCACAGACGGCTTCCGTCAGGCATCCTCGCATATTCTTGGTAAGACGACGTCGTAGGATTCTGTGGTAAGTATTTGGAAGAAGGAGGATGCAGGGCTGGGCTCTGAGAGAAGAGCCACTCAGCTGCCCCTTGTCAGCCAAGAGCCAGCTCGAGCCGACTCCAAAAGGGACCTGGCAGTGGCCATTCCCTCTGGTCCTATCACTGGTTACCTATGAGAAGAGGCCGACCCCAGCTCTCCACCCCTTCCTTTCAGGCAGTTGCAGAGAGCAATAAGGTCTGCCCTGAGCCTCCTCTTCTGCAGACCAAACACCCCCAGTGCCCTCAGCTGCTCCTCACAGGACTTGTACTGCAAATAACTTGGGGTACATGAGGCCCAGCACTGCAGCCGGTCAAGGGAAGGGATTGTCCTGCTCTGCTCTGCCTGTGGCTGTTACATCCCGAGCACTGGGGGCGGTTTGGGGTGTATCAGGGTCAGAAGGGCACAAACCTATTGGAGACAATCCAAAGGAGGGCCATGAAGGTGGTGAAGGGTCTGGAGAGGAAGGCGTGTGAGGAGCGGTTGAGGTGCCTTGGTTTGTTCAGCCCAGAGCAGAGCAGGCCGAGGGGAGGCCTCATGGCGGCCTGCAGCTCCCTCACGAGGGGAGCAGAGGGGCAGGCACTGAGCTCTGCTCTCTGGGGACAGCGACAGGACTCGAGGGGACGGCATGGAGCTGGGAGAGGGCAGGGTCAGGCTGGGGGTGAGGCTGGGGGTGAGGCTGGTTGTGCACCCAGAGGTGGTTCGACACTGGCACAGGATCCCGCGGTTGCCAAGCCTAACAGAGTCCAAGAAGTCTTGGGACAATGCTCTCATACATCAAGATTGGTTTTGGGTGGAGCTCTGTGGAGCCAGGATTTGGAATCAATGGTCCTTGCGGGTGCCTTTCTACTTTTGTGCTGTCACCCATGGCTTCCTGGGATAAGGGACACCCATTCCCGGCAGCACCAGCACAGGGCTCCTGCTCACCTTCCCCTTCCTCACCCGTAGCAAACAGCCTGGCCCCGCAGGGACTGCCAGCCCCGGAGTCCCCACAGCGCTGGTGGGGAACAGCAGCCCTGGGCACCCTCTGGCACAAGGACACGCTCACGCTTCCCACCAGCTGCAATGCCAAACTGCACGCATTTATTTGAGCAGGGAAAAGCAGCCTGTGGCCAAACCACAGCAGGCCCATGGAACAGGACATCAGCAGCTGTTTCCAGGAGTGAGAAGCGAGGGGGACATCCTGCTCACAGCATTCAGCACATCAACCCCATGTCCTGTACAGAGAAAGCAGAAAGCTTATCACCTCCTTGAAACTTCTGCCTTTTGTCTCTCTCCCAATCTCTCCCACCTTCTCTCCAAGGACAAATGAGTCTTGAGACTCAGGAGTCAAATGCCCAGAGGCAAACTCATGGCCTTCCTGCTGATGGCTTAGAACTGTGCCCTCCTTAGTGCTGGTAGCCCTGACTCCAAGTCTTTGCAGAAGCATCAAGAACAGGACCGTGTCCTTCACCATCTCCAAGGGGCAACTTTAACCCTTTGCCAGCAAGGTAGAGTCCTCTGCAAAGGCTGGGCAAGCCTTGTGGGGCAGAGCAGAATGCGGAGGTGCTGGCTAAGCTTAGGGTCCTTCGGCCCACACAGGGCTGAACCCACACATCCAAACCCACAATCCCCTTCCTTTCCGGGACTCTCCTGCACAGTACATTCTGCACATGTTGATGGTTATGCGTAAAGTAGGAAGAGTTCTGTAACAGTTATTTCAAATTACAAAGGAGGAATCCGTTTCATCAACCATGGACCTTACCTGCTGCAGCAGGCTTGGAAAGTTGAGCATCTCCCAATCTGTCTTTCACCGAGCTGGCACCTGCTTAAACGACAAATTCCCCCTCTTGTTCTGCAGATGCGAGTAATTCCTGTTCCAATAGAAAGACATGCACGGTAAGCCATTAGAAAAATGATTGCAACAGGGGTCAGAGCACTGGCATAGCTTCCCAGAAAGGTTCTGGAGTCAGCCTGCTTAGAGATCTTCGAAAGTCACACAGAGGGGCTCGAGACAAGGGGGCATTGGGAAACTGTCCTGGAGGATAAAACAAAACCACTTTGTGTGCCAGCCATTCCACCAAGCCAACATCCCCCTTGAGTTCTCTCCCATCCCTGCACAGGACAAAAGGTCCCACTGAAGGACACTGCTGTCCACACCTCAGCCCATCTCCCCCCTTCCCCTCTCACCTGCAGTGCCCTGGAGAAAGAGGAGGAAGAAGGGGAAGAGCAGGAACAGGATCTTCATGGCTGATGCCCGGAGCACGTCTTCACGGGGCTGCAGCAGAGAAGACAAACCAAGGTGACAAGAACCTGGGGGACAACCCCAGGTGGTGCTACAGGAGCCTGGGCACAACTCTGGGGAACCCCATTATGGGCTACCAGCACCTACAAGAAAAAGATATTTTCTTAGCCTTTTTCTTCAGAAGAGTTCTGAGGTGTGCACCTACCTGATGGAGGTCCTGGTGCTCAGGCACAAAGAGAGCCAAGAGGAATCCCTCGTGTCCACGTGCCCCTGCAGCCAGAGAGTGCTGCTTTGCCCTAAACGTGAGGGTTTTATCCCGCTGCTGGTGGGTGGGAGCTGGGCTTCCTCCCGCTGCCGCCTCTGCCCTTGGCCAATCAGCCAGTGACCCATGGGCATGGTGGGGTTGCTCCTCGTCCCTCCTGGCTGCTGAGGTGCCTGCTGGGGCTGTTGCAATCGTCACCGTTATCCTCATGCAACACAGCTTGTGACACCCAGGGGCACACTACAGACGGCCTCCCTCAGGCATCCTCGCATATTCTTGGTAAGATGACATCGTAGGATTCTGTGGTAAGTATTTGGAAGGAGAAGGATGCAGGGCTGGGCTCTGAGAGAAGAGCCACTCAGCTGCCCCTTGTCAGCCAAGAGCCAGCTCGAGCCGACTCCAAAAGGGACCTGGCAGTGGCCATTCCCTCTGGTCCTATCACTGGTTACCTATGAGAAAAGGCCGACCCCAGCTCCCCACCCCTTCCTTTCAAGCAGTTGCAGAGAGCAATAAGGTCTGCCCTGAGCCTTCTCTTCTCCAGCCCAAACACCCCCAGTGCCCTCAGCCACTCCTCACAGGACTTGTGCTCCAAATAAATACTTGGGGTACATGAGGCCCAGCACTGCAGCCGGTCAAGGGAAGGGATTGTCCTGCTCTGCTCTGCCTGTGGCTGTTACATCTCATGCACTGGGGGCGGTTTGGGGTGTATAAGGGTCAGAAGGGCACAAACCTATTGGAGACAATCCAAAGGAGGGCCATGAAGGTGGTGAAGGGTCTGGAGAGGAAGGCGTGTGAGGAGCGGCTGAGGTGCCTTGGTTTGTTCAGCCCAGAGCAGAGCAGGCTGAGGGGACGCCTCATGGCGGCCTGCAGCTCCCTCACGAGGGGAGCGGAGGGGCAGGCGCTGAGCTCTGCTCTCTGGGGACAGCGACAGGACCCGAGGCGATGGCATGGAGCTGGGACAGGGCATGGTCAGGCTGGGGGTGATGGAAAGGTTCTGCACCCAGAGGTGGTTCAACACTGGCACAGGATCCCGCGGTTGCCAAGCCTAATAGAGTCCAAGAAGTGTTGGGACAATGCTCTCATACATCAGGACTGGTTTTGGGTGGAACTCTCTGGAGCCAGGATTTGGACTCAATGGTCCTTGTTGGTCCCTTTTTACTCAGGATGTTCAGGGATTCTGTGATTCTGTGATCATGGTCAATATTCATCATTTTCTTTCTCATTTCTCAGTGTCAGAAGAGCTCTATCTCACAGCAATGGGAGAGCACAGCCCAGCTCCCAGCACAGCCCCTAGCAGGCAGGGCTCCTGGATGCTGTGGCAGGATAAGGAGGAACACGGGGCCACCAGAACAGGTCGGGTGGGCAGCCCTGGCAATGCCCAACAAAGCACAGCCCTCTGCACATAGCCAGCACTGCTGTCACCCATGACTGCCCGGGACAAGGGACTTCTGTGCCCAGACGCACCAGCTCAGGGCTCCTGCTCGCCCTCCTGTTCCTCACCCGCAGCAAACAGCCTGGCCCCGCAGGGACTGCCAGCCCCGGTGTCCCCACGGCGCTGGTGGGGAACAGCAGCCCTGGGCACCCTCTGGCACAAGGACATGCTCACGCTTCCCACCAGCTGCAATGCCAAACTGCATGCCTTTATTCGAGCGGGAAAAAGCAGCCTCTGGCCAAACCACAGCAGGCCTGGGGCAGGATGTCTCCAGCACATGGGTGCCCTTGCAGCCAGCAGGAGCAGTGCCGCGACTCTCACAGGCACTGCACGGGGAGACTGCGGGGACGGGAATGGGAAGAGGACATCAGGAGCCATTTCCAGGAGCGAGAGGTGAGGGGGACATCCTGCTCACAGCATTCAGGGCATCAAGCCCATGTCCTGTAACAAGGAAGCAGAAAGCATGACACCGGTTTGCAATTTCCTTCTCCCGTGCTCTCAGTTGCTCCCACCTCCTCTGTTATGAAAGCTAAATACATAGTGCAAAAGAATGACACATTGGTCTTGGGAGTTGGAACTGTTTCAACCCCCAAAAAGATAGTTTAAAATTTATGAGGACTCTTCCCTCCCTTCCTGGGACTCTCCCACAGAGCATAAATGCAGCAGAGTTTTTACCAGGTATTGACTAGAAAGAGTTCCATAACAGCCATTTCAATGGAAAAAGGAGGAATTCCTTTCCTCGGCCAGGAACCCAGACCTTACCTCTTGCAGCAGGGAACTGCAGTTGAACATCTCCCAATAGGTGTCGTGGGGAAGCGGCATCTCGCAAAGGTACAGATTCCCCCTCTTTGTCTGCATGCTTGGCGGCTTCCTGGAGCCAGGGAGAATCACAGACACACAAACAGCTGAGGTGATGATTTATGTGAGTTGTGAGTGCTTGCAGAGTGTGTGCACTGACACTCTCCATGCACTCCAGGCCAGCATCTGGGCTCATCATCTTTAAGCTTGGCGTATGTAGGTCTTCCAACGCAAGGTGTCTCACCCAGAAGGGCTCTTTCACACCCCTACAGGTGCACACAAGAGCAGCGAGGGAGGAGGACCAGCAAGAAGACCAAGGGAGAGGCGTGCTGGCTGCCCAGCTGCGTGTCCAGCTCTGCCTGGACCAGTGGATCTGGCAAGTGGGGCACTCATCACAGCCCACAGCCCAATCCCTGCTGCTCCATGAGCTTGAGGGACCTCCGATGGAAAGTCCTTACCCAGTCCTCAAAGGGGTCATGGCTCAAAAGAAGGGGGCTTTGGGAAACTGTGGGGGGGATAAAACAAAACCACTTTGCGTGCCCGCCATTGCACCAAGCCAACATCCCCCTTGGGCTCTCTACCATTCCTGCACAGGACAAAAGGTCCCTCTGAAGGACGCTGCTGTCCACACCTCAGCCCATCTCCCTCCTTCCCCTCTCACCTGCAGCGCCCTGGAGAAAGAGGAGGAAGAAGGGGAAGAGCAGGAACAGGATCTTCATGGCTGGTGCCCGGAGCAGGTCTTCACGGGGCTGCTGCAAAGAAGACAAACCAAGGTGACAAGGACCTGGGGGAGAAGCCCAGGTGGTGCTGCAGCAGCCTGGGCACAACTCTGGGGAACCCCAGTAGTGGCTACCTGCGCCTACAAGAAAAAGATATTTTCTTAGCCTTTTTCTACAGAAGAGTTCTGAGGTGTGCACCTACCTGATGGAGGTCCTGGTGCTCAGGCACAAAGAGAGCCAAGAGGAATCAATCCCTCGTGTCCACGTGCTCCTGCGGCCAGAGAGTGCTGCTTTGCCCTAAACGTGAGGCTTTTATCCCGCTGCTGGTGGGTGGGAGCTGGGCTTCCTCCTGCTGCCGCCTCTGCCCTTGGCCAATCAGCCAGTGACCCATGGGCATGGTGGGGTTGCTCCTCGTCCCTCCTGGCTGCTGAGGTGCCTGCTGGGGCTGTTGCAGTCATCACCGTTATCCTCACGCAACACAGCTTGTGACACCCGGGGGCACAGGAGGCACATAGCCTGCCGTGTCTGGAGGGCAATGGCAGCACAGGCACCCTGCAAGGAGAAGAGGGCTTCCCTCAGGTGTCCTCTGATATTCTTGGTGATACGACTTCTTAGGATCCTGTGGAAAGGGCTTGGAAGGATGGGGATGCAAAGGCTGGGCTCTGAGAGACGATTCCCAAAGCTGCCCCACGTCAGCCAAGAGCCAGCTCCAGCCGATTCCAAAAGGGACCTGCTGGTGGCCTGAGCTGAGGTAATGAGCGACACTGGTTGTGCCTCCATCATGACAGGGAATTGTTGAATCATTTACGTTGGAAAAGACCTCCGAGATCGCCTGGCCCAACCATCCTGTACCACTAGTTTCACCCACTGAACCCTGTCCCCAAGCACCACGTCCAACCTCTCCTTGAACACCCCCACAGACGGGGACTCCTCCACCTCCCTGGGCAACCCGTCCCAACGCCTGACTGATCTTTCTCAGCAGAAATGTCTCCTCATTTCCAACCTGAACCTCCCCTGGCACAACTTGAGGACATTCCCTCTGGTCCTATCACTGGTTTCCTGTGAGAAGAGGCTGAACCCCAGCTCCCCACCTCTTCCTTTCAGGCAGTTGCAGAGAGCAATAAGGTCTGCCACGAGCCTCCTCTTCCCCAGACCAAACACCCGCAGTTCCCTCAGCCTCTCCTCACAGGACTTGTGTTGCAAATGCCATGAGGGAACATGAGGCCCGGCACTGCAGCTGGTCAAGGGAAGGGATTGTCCTGCTCTGTTCTGCCTGCTGCTGCCTCACCTCAGGCACTGGGGGCAGTTTGGGGCTCCTCTGTGTCAGAAGGGCATAAATATAACGGAGAGTGTCCAAACGAGGGCCATGAAGGTGGTGAAGGGTCTGGAGGGGAAGGTGTGTGAGGAGCAGCTGAGGTGCCTTGGTTTGTTCAGCCCGGAGCAGAGCAGGCCGAGGGGAGGCCTCATGGCAGCCTGCAGCTCCCTCACGAGGGGAGCGGAGGGGCAGGTGCTGAGCTCTGCTCTCTGGGGACAGCGACAGGACTCGAGGGGACGGCATGGAGCTGGGACAGGGCAGGGTCAGGCTGGGGGTGAGGCTGGGGGTGAGGCTGGTTGTGCACCCAGAGGTGGTTCGACACTGGCACAGGATCCCACGGTTGCCAAGCCTAACAGAGTCCAAGAAGTCTTGGGACAATGCTCTCATACATCAAGATTGGTTTTGGGTGGAGCTCTGTGGAGCCAGGATTTGGAATCAATGGTCCTTGCGGGTGCCTTTCTACCTTTGTGCTGTCACCCATGACTGCCCAGGACAAGGGACTTCTGTGCCCAGACGCACCAGCTCAGGGCTCCTGCTCGCCCTCCTGTTCCTCACCCGCAGCAAACAGCCTGGCCCCGCAGGGACTGCCAGCCCCGGCGTCCCCACGGCGCTGGTGGGGAACAGCAGCCCGGGGCACCCTCTGGCACAAGGACACGCTCACGCTTCCCAGCAGCTGCAATGCCAAACTGCACGCCTTTATTCAAGCAGGGAAAAGCAGCCTGTGGCCAAACCACAGCAGGCCTGGGGCAGGATGTCTCCAGCACATGGGTGCCCTTGCAGCCAGCAGGAGCAGTGCTGCGACTCTCACAGGCACTGCACGGGGAGACTGCGGGGACGGGAATGGGAAGAGGACGTCAGGAGCCGTTTCCAGGAGCGAGAGGCGAGGGGGACATCCTGCTCACAGCATTCAGGGAATCAACCCCATGTACTGTAAC